CAACTACTCCGAAGATGAAGATTACATTAATCTTGATCGAAGGAGACACGAACGAACCAAAATTAACATATCAAAAGTTTTGCTCGCTTTAATAGCCCGTTAACTTTAAGATTTCAGCTCAGCTCCCATGGCAAACTTTTGCCCTAAAGACTTGGGTCAAGTTGGGGGGGGGGGGGGGTGTATATTTATTGATAACTTTCGTCATATATATTTTTCACTTTCTAATCTCCTCAGGCAAGGCCAGAATATGTGTGATAGTCCATGACTTCCCCTCCAGCAATATTTTTGGCACACCTGACTACTACAGAGATACGATGAAAACCTTTAAAAGCACGCAAGGTACAACGTTTAAGCAATCTTCTCTGGTTATGACGTGCGGTAAGATGAATGGACCTGTCGAGATGCAGGAAACTAACTGGGAAGACCTGAAGAAATTCCTAGTGAAGGCTGCCAAGACTCCCATGCCACCAAAACCATCAAAGCTACCAAAGCCACCAAAGCCTTGGTGGCAACGAGTCTGGGATTTCTGTCCAAGGCGATGGCTAGCCATATTAGTTGTTTTAGTGATAATTGCAGCGGTTGCTGTTGGTCTAACTGTAGGACTCGGCAAATCCCCTCCCGCTGCAACTTCCACCCCAAACCTACCAGGATCGACTCCTACAACTGCTACCACTCCTACAACAATCTCTCCGAAAGAAACCACTCATCCTCCTACAACTATTTCGACCACTGAAACAGACACTACATCAAACCCTACAACTACCAACAGGAGCATGCATAGAGTGTATGAATCATCTATAATAATTATTTCTCTGTTCTCAATTTTCATGATGATTTGAAGTGTATGTATTAATGCATTGCGTTTTGTTTTTATCTAGAAATGATTTTGTTATACAGTAATTGTACGTATATATAAGCGCTTTCGGAAAATTCGTATTGCATGGCATCAAAATCTCGCCCTTTCCTCTTTAATACACGTCGTTCTTTTTAATATTAGCGATGACAATGTAAATAATAATACTTATAATGACGATAATAATAATGATGATAATAATAGTTATTAAAAAAAATAAAAATAAAATTCATAATATTCATGATAGTAATAATTATAATAATAATACACACAATGTACCTTTTCTAATGATGATAATAATAATAATGAGAATAATGATAATGATAATACTAATAATAACAATATCCATAATAAAAATAAATCCATATTTAAATAGCGCTTAATACAAACTTTTGTCTCACAGCGTTTTACGTTACCCAGCCATCGGATTCATTCACGCAGCCAATGAGCACAATCTCCTGGGTACGGAGTGGCAAATGTAGAGTAATGCCTTGCCAAAGAACATTAGTTCCGTGTCGGCATTGAACCCTTTGTATATTTAAACAAGTGCTCAAACCACTCGACTACAACACCTTGTTTTAGTGAATATGATATAGCATTGATATACGTTATTGAGTTAATGCGTATAAACAATGATAAATAATGTATTTGTGACCCCCCCCCCCCCCTTTATATTTTAATTTAATAATTTAAAGTCCCAGGCATGTGGGTGTGAGTGTATCCGTGAGGGTGTGTGCGTTTGTGCGTCTGTGCGTCTGTGTGTGATAACGTATGTTCAAAGATTATGGCAAAGTGTGATAACGTATGTTGAAAGATTATGGCAAAGTGTAATAGCTAAGTTTGAGCTAAGGGAATTAAGGTCTATCGACTGAATAGATATTCATTTAGGGTTGTCCGGTAACTCCCCACGAATAAAGATTTTTAACACACTTATTTTTGCAATGAAATATTGGATGTAAAGATGCAGGGGAAAGTCCGTAATATTGTCTTTGGGGGAGTTTCAAGAAGAACTGTTGGAAATTAGGGAAGAAGAAAAGAGGTAGGAGGGCAGGTAAATTGGCCTTGCATTTACAGAAGTGGGAACAAGTAAAGTTTTCATGAACTTTTAACACTGGGCTATTGTGGTATTGTAGCCTCGTTTAAATTTTTTTTTAATTAAATGTTTTAAATAGTTGGGTTCTGTTTGTCTGTCGCTCCAATTTGGGGTATTCTGAGGAGGCTAGGAACAGTTTGTGGTGGAAGTGTGGTCGGGTGGTGTGTTTCATTTCATTTTTGTTTTCATCAATTGTACAATCTATGTAATGAAAATGTTTTAAATTCATGTCAAGGAAAAACAACTGTATTTTAATTCAAAAAATTAATTTGTATTGTTTGGAATCAATAAAAAAAAAACTATGGCAAAAAAAGAAAAAAAAGTATGTACTCTTGTTTGTTTATTGTAAATCTTTAAATGTTTTTCTTTCTTTTTTCTTTTGGGATACCATACTAACCATACTTTTATTTACTGTTTTAAATTGATATACTGTGATTGTTTTCGTTTGATGTTATTTCATGGTTGAAGCAATAAATACAATTACAAAAATCACTTTCATATTTAAGCAAATCTTCGGGCTTGTGAGATTGGTTAGTAAAGTATGGAAAATTTATCATGTAATAATAATTACTTCATAATACACAGTTACTTACTATTAGATATATTAGGTTCGCTAACACAGAACACGTTTCAGTTTTAAAGACGGCCTACATAAAATCCAAGCATGGTTAAAATGAGCCAAATAAAACAAGGGCATATAATTATATTTATCAATTGAACAAAACAAGTTCACATAAATTTATACAATACTTGGACTGAAACATTAAAATCAAACAAAATTTAAAACGCACTAAAATATAAAAAATTCAAGTCAGACTGAAGGGTTTTAAGAAAGGTGTGGCTAAAAAGAAAACGGCAGATTAAAGTGGATTGCTCAATAGAAAGACAGTATAAGCACACAATGGACAGGTTAACAAGACTATACGATAATGATAGGAACAAACAAGCAAAATAGCAAACACAGTGTGTCAGCCCTCGTTGAAAGTAAAAATATCCATTAGGCCTATATATATATATATATATATATATATATATATATGTATATAATATATTTACCTTTTTTTAAAGAGACTGATAGTATCGGGTTTGATTTTTGAAAACTTGCGCAGATTATGATAATTGAACAGGAAGTGATTAAATTAATGTATTAAACTGTCAATATGCAAAGTCAGAAAACGACCATTTAAAAAATTTGGTATAAATAATGGGCTATTGAGGGCAACTGCCCCCGGATAACTACCCTCATACAACTACCCCCTACGACAACCATCCTCTAGGACAACTACCACCCGGACAACAATCCGACGGGGTAGTTGTCCGGGGGTAGTTTTTCTAGGGGGGTAGTTGTCCTAGGGGGTAGTGACTGAGCGATAATATTTTGCTATATCTATCTATCGAGTATAATTAATATTCATATATAGAAAATGAGATTGAATGTAAATATTATATGCATTGAATGTTTCCGATCGTTTTAGACATCAAAAAGGAATCTAAAAGTTGATTGAAGGCATATTTTCATGGTTGAACCAACAGAATCATTTTATTTTAAAGTGGTAGGGTAATAACAAAAATGTGCAAAAAAGAATCCTTTTCTTCTTTTCTTCTTCTTTACACCTCCCCCTCTTTCCCTCTTCCCCGCCTTTAATAGGCGTTGTGGCGTGCGCCTGTAATCCAGCTAAAAAGTGGAAGTTACAACCTGATTCAGCCGAGGACGCAGGTTCGAAACTGAGTCACGTCTTTCGGATGGTGACATTTAAAGGTCGGTCCACAGACGTAAATAATCATATCTGATTGATACACGTCTGTAAAAACACAATACACACATACACACACCCACACACACACTTTGGGCGTCGAGCTTCGGGGGGGGGCAGTAGTCCATGATTCTGTAGCGGACAGTGAGGTAAGACGAAGTCGGAGGAAATCTGACGAAAATGAATGGACAATTACTGAAATGTATTCAACATTGACTAACTTGAATAACGAAAGACTAAATTAACTTTGACATTTGCAAGATTCCGGATTCCTAGGACGAATTTAAAGTGCGCAAAGATGACTTTGAATGAAAAAAGTCTTAAGATTTTAAAGAAATTTGTTTACGATGGACTCTACAATGTCTTAAATAATAATATGTTACTAAGTTCGTGCAAATTTGGCTTTCGTAAAAAGTTCCCTTTTCATAATAATGATACATTCATAACAGCTTTGAGTAAGAACCTTCATGTTATTGGTATAACTTTAATTCTAAGCAATGCGTATAAATCATAACGTTTTACTCAAGAAATGTTATTTTTTACCTCTGACATTTAACCTCTGACATTGTTACACCGAACTGAATTAGGCTATTACTTATTCTGAGTAGGCCTACAGAGATGTCACCTTCAAATCTATACCATTCCTGTCTGTCAAAATACTAATATCTAATGTCTTTTCGTATATTTAAAAATCAAACACATATCATTCCCCAGTTTGTTAGAAACATGTTGACAATAAGATAACGAATTTAATGTTAATAATGCTGTGTATTCTTTCATGTACTTGGGTCCTCGCACATGGAATTGTTTACTTTTTAATAGTACTCGATCATGCAAATACCTTTAATAATTTAAGCACACGCTGTTTCTGTGAACAAACAAATAAGTAACCTCTTTAACCATATCTGTGTGTCATTATTATCATTTGTAGTAGTAGTAGAAGAATTAAAGAGCTAAGATGATCTGTTTTTCTCCTTGTAAGCTGTCTTATAGATTGCTTCTTTTAACAAAAATTGACCAACCTCGTATTCCATCTTCCTATAGTAGTCTTTGCAAGGTTTTGTGTCATTTTCCTTTGCAAAGATTTTAATGGATTTGTATTTAATTGAATCTTTTGCTTAATACCGCATTCCTTATATCTTTTACTTTAAATCTTGCATTGCTCTTTATCGGTTTATGATTGCATGTTTCCCTTTAATCATTTGCGATCACGCTTGAGTACCGTATCGTAAGCATGAGCGGAGGTTTTGTTCTTTATTTTATTCTTTAGCGTGGCTGTTTGAAATCGAAATAAACACACAAAGGGATATGGAGCAACAACAATACTGAGAACTTATATGTGACGATACTTGTTGATTTAGTATCGTACCACCGTGTACTCTCGCAAGTTAGACAAATTAAGTTCAAGGATAAAAGACCGTACTATACTCCGTTTCAGGCTTTGCGTTGACTGGTTGGTTATTCAAGTACTATTTGCTGTATTTTCCGATGTGAATTGTCCTGCAACAAGAACAGACCATTGATGTGAGGTTGGATTCAGGTTGCATGCTAACTGCACATTGACAGGTAATTATGCATAGTATGTATAATCAGGGAATTGCATATACACAGAGGAGTTCATTATTACGTACGTTGTGCATGCATTTGTGTCATAGAGATCTATATGAGAACACTTATATCTCTATGGTTTGTGTTCATAAGTGTACACGGACGGATACTTTAAATGCAGTGTATAGAGTTCACTTTAGATTTCACTCTCTTGCAGCGTAGTCACATTATAGCAGGCATTATGATATTGATATCACGACATCGACCATAAATATCAGTGAAATAAACGTAGGCCTTACAGTAAACACTTCCTGAAGCGATTTGGCTTCATGGCGTTCATGATAAATGCTGTAGAGTATTATTCATTGTATGTATAATATTGGCGGATCCGGGATTCTCGCACGTCTCCAGTTTTAGCGGGATTTTTAAGCACATAATAGGTATATTTAAACTCACAACTCCCTGGTCCAACCATCATGAGATATTTTCCATGGGAGCCCAGCTACTGTTTAATTATGATCACTATCCTATATAGAAATCATCACTAGTCTGTTGTTGTGCTTGTGGGTGTGTGTTCGCGTGCGTGCGTGTGTGCGTTTTGTGTTTGTTTGTATAAGTGTCACGGAAAAGTCTCCTAAATATTTTTTTGACGGTTTTATTCACATGTTTTTTTTTCTCCAGGAAACCATCATAGCCATAATTAACAGTGTCATATATTGGTAGCCATGGGCACAAAATTCGTCTCCTCCACTCTCATCGTCCTTCTGACTGCCATGTTGCACCAATCATCAGGATGTTCTTGCATTGAAAATCCAGGCTTCTGCATGTCAGACTTTGGTAATACAATCATTTATGATTATTGTTTTAATCGTCACTAGCCTATACACATTGCTTGATGTTCTTTCTATTTCATTGTCTACAAGTGCCTCCGTCAGTTAAATTAATTTACAGTAAGAAATTATATATTGTGGACTTGAATAAATTGAAGGGGCTTGAGCCCAATCCCCTACCCCGCCCTCTCTAAAACTGCAGAGGGGCAGGAAACCAGATTTGTAGCAAGTCTTCACGACTGAAAAGGAAATTCATGGGAGGTACTTTGATATTTTGAAAGTTTTTTTTTCTTTATTACTAGAGGTGTGTGTCGTGGTATAGTAAATAATGTCACCAGACTGTATAATCACATGGTTTGCTTCTCGAGTCCTACCGCAGCACTAATGTCCTTTGGCAAGACATTACCCCCCCCCCCCCTTTTGAGTGTTGTTTTTTAATCCTAATGGATGACCTAAAGATGACATTCCCCCCCCCCCCCAACAAAACGGAATGTCGATCGGTCCCCCCTTCCCGCGTTGCGAAATTTTTGGCCCGATTTCAAAATGTTAACCCCCCCCCCTTGAAAAAATCCTGCGTACGCCACTGAGCCCAGGTAATAATATGATACTTTGTATTAAGCGCAGTAGAGTATATTCATATACTAGCTGCGCTATATAAATGGACCTATTATAATTATTATTCTGAAACTCGGCATGAACACTGACATTAAATTAAACACTGGTCCGTATTATATTGATTTAGTTCAACCCCGCCCCCCCCCCCATCAGTGTTATTTAGGGTACGCATATGCTCGTACCCTCTTTTTGAAAGCACCCCCTATCTGAGGACTGCCAACATTTTCGAACCCCCCTTTCGCGGGCTTTTCGCGGGCTTTTCCTGCCTAGGGGACCCCCCCCCCCCCCCAAAAAAAAAAAAAAAAAAAAAAAAAAAAAAAAATCAGGAAAAATGCTCAATGTACCCCCTAAATTCGGAATAATTTCTCAGGAGTCCAAAGAGATGAGAGAAAAAAAAGAAAAACACCCCCTTTTTAAAGAAATCTCCGAGTATGGGGGGGGGGGGGGGGCGGGAGTTCAACCCGCTCCTTTTATTCTAAAATCACGTTTAACAAACGGAAAGCTTTATATAGACCTCACATTAACTTCCTTTACTAAACCTTAGTTTGAATATTTGCCGAAACAAAATTGTCGAGTTTTAAGTTGTTGGCCTTCGTTCGTTGTGTAGTTATCTCATTTTCAGTTAATACGGTCTGTCTTTGATTTTGCAATCGATATTACGAAATAGAAACATAATAATAAAATCGTAGCTTATTACCAGTGGCTAAAATGCAAAATTCAGAAAGGCATAGGCGTACTGTTGGCTTACGTCATGACTCTTGTGTATTCGAAGAGCAGAAAGACACTTTTGGAATAACTTGTGAATACTTTCCCTTGCTTATCTTTTGCTATATCAACAGCTATCAGAGGAACAATCCTAGGCGTCCAAGGCAATGCCACGTTACAGGAAGATTTGGTTTACAGCGTGCAGGTAAAGGAGGTGTACCGTAACTCCTCAAACAGCATTGAGGTTAATGGGACTATTGATATCAAGACTGGCGGCCACACATGCGGAGTGCATGGTTTGGAGGAGGATTCGACGTACCTGATTTCCGGATGTAAATATACTGACATAGCGCCAATTATAATCTGATGCCCGTTAATTTTTACCTTTATTTGGTGACGGGCCCCCTCCCCTGCGCCACAAGGGGGGGGGGGGATGCGAATTTTAAATTTTCCGAGGGCAAACAAAAAAATTGTGCTGCTCACGACCCCCTTACTGTGTACGATGCGTTAATCTTTTCGATTGCGTTATTTTATGTACGCAAATGAAGCTAAAGAAGGCAATTATCAAATATGCCAGCAATGCAAGATACATGGATCGTTTTGATTTCATTGTCCCTTTTCAACGGTTTTACACTCAAATGGTGCGTCAAATATCACACCAGATACTGACGCAATCATACGTCAGGCAGCTTACGCATGCCTATGAAGGAGTCGCAAAGTAAATGTATGCTCTGTTCTTCATGACGCGTCATAATCAGTCGCTGACGCAGTCTTGCGTCAAGCAAATGACGCCTCGTGTGCTGCTGACATTGGTATTCTGATTTAGATAATCTGACAGCTAATACGAATTTACTTGAAAGTCACGGTTAATTTTGGTCCTAGATCAATATTGAGACAAAAATATTCTGTGTACCCATGCCTTGATCCATAATACATGGCCGTACAGAGGATTTTTGTATGTTGGGGACTGGGGGAAATTCAATCAATTATTGATAATTTATTGCATTTTCTTTGTTTTTTTTTATTTGTGGGAACTGTGGGAACCCTAGCCCCCGCTGCGTACAGTCATGGTTCAGTGGCAAAGCAATGGCCTCGTAACTGTGAGGCCCCAGGATCAAAAAACGTGTCGATGTGCCACATTAGTGACCTTTTGTGGGGCATTAACCTTCATTACTGTCATTTATGACTTAAGGGCGTAGGTCCCCTAGTTGATAAGCATAGTAGCATGCACATTCTTTAGCAGTCACGCAAAACAAACACTGGCAAATTATTATTCAATAAAATCTGAGAATGTATACTATTATCTAGATCTATTAGGAATAAATCATTGTCAAAATAATTCCATAAATTGGGGTAAAAAAAAAAATTCCAACTAAATGAGCGACAATGTAGCTAGTAGGCATTCATGTACATAATATAGTATAATATTAACTTGACTCTCAATTCAAGGCTCGAGTTCCAGCCCGGTACTAATGTCCTTTGGCCAGACATTAATCCACATTCGCCACTCCCCTCCCAGGTGCAAATTGGTTTATGGCAATGATAATGTAACAATAATTTCAGGTCCCGCATGGAGAGCAGACCCTTGGTAAATAAGTCCCCACTATAATAACTTTACCATCCTCTTGTTTTTATTCATAGTATACGATACATCATACTCGATTGATAGTTGTAATTCTGTGGTCGTGGAGTACGACGATCCCGACGATATCAATGATTTGGGCCTCCCGTGCTCAGCATCGTTGACCACCGTGACCCCGTACGTCATCATCGTCGGTGCCCTTCTCCACTTCATCCTTCGCTGATGACCGATCTGACCGGTGACCGGGCAGCGGTGCAGCTGCGGTGTATATGTAATATGAATAGCTCTATGCACTTTATCAATTCGATACATAGAATATGTAGATGTTTAGTTTTTGATAAACACGTTTTCATCAGCCCGAGTTTAATGCAAAATAAGACATATTTGATCTTTGTAAATAGTTTTTGTTTTAATTCCAGAGCTTTTATTGCACAGAGAGCTTGAGGAAATAGAACATAATGTGTACAGAGAGATCGATCGAGAAAAGCTGGCTACAGGCCCATGAGACCAACAATTTCGGTCCCCGGGCGTTCTGGGCACCTTCCAAAAGGATTGCCAGACGGCCCACGAAGAAAGAAAACACATAATTCTGACGAAAATATAGAAAATAAGAAAGTTGGTTAAAGAAAAAGTCGACGAGACCTACATTTGCCTTTCTTTTCCTTATAATATATCTTGTTGCTGTTGCTGTTATGTATTGTGGGTCTCCTGAGCTGTCGTTCTCGTTCTCGTGTCGATTAGGATGACACCGAAATAGATTTTTTTTTTAAAATAGATATATCGGGCTAATGAGCACTTGAACTTAAAGTCACATTCGAATTCTATATATTTTTGTGGTGTGTGAACGCACCCCTACAAGGATCTGGGTGCACAAACTATATCTACAGCATTATGACTATGAACCGATATGCCATATATTTATGGAAGTTAATAGAACTTTGTAACTATTTTTTTTAAATAGGGCCCTGTTGTAACTACTGATGTTGCTTTAAAGGTAAAGACCAGTTTTGGAAACGCCCCCTCTCAAAAAATGAAATGGAAGCTCTAATTACCAATCATGTGAATATGTTTTGACCAATACGTGATCATACAAATTTTGCTGAGAAACCGCCTACTAATTAATATATTTGGTAAATTGTTATACCTATTTGGACCTGATAGATATAACGCACGTGTCGCGCACGTGAGGGGTAGTCCCATATACATCTTACTGTGTACAGTGCTTGTAACTTTATCAAGACTGGGCAAAATTTCTTATTATTTTGATGATTCCAGAACCTTGCAGTACACACCAATACTTATATGCTAGATGATCAACCTTTTCTGATCGATTCCACAACGTTTCTTTCACAATGCAATCGCATGACCATAACTGGTTTTTATCTTTAACATGGGAAGAAAACGCTTCCACTGTTAATACATGCAGTTAACATGATGAAACTATGCCTATTTTTCTTTGGCATTTTCCAAGCCTTTATTGCAATAATTACTTCAGTTGTTGATAGTGAGATATTAGTATTGACTTAGACGTATGTGTACTATCAATTCGTGTATAACATTGACTTTTTCCTGTTTCAATGGTTAGGAATTACGTCGTGTTAATGTTTGCCTTATGTTAATAATATTACATTATAGTAATATTTTTCTTTTGTATATGAATTAATATGTATAAATCTGTAATCATGAAATTGTGTTTTGTTTTAGCTGTATTGTTACCCGCTTAGAGAGACTTCACAGTCTATCTTGCGCTTCAAAATCTTTCTTATTATCGTTATTACTATTATTGTTATTACTTTTATAATTGTATTATTATGATTTATTCACTTTATATTCATATATTTATTTTTTTTGTTTGTTTTGTATATAAAGAGTGACAGCAGCTCAGGCGGAGACGGCCACTGTACAAAGTATAATCAATATTTCACATTATACATGACTTTGTATATGCATGTGTTTAGATAACAGAACTATTAGTAGAGGTGTGGTAAATATCCAGTACTACATATTAATAAAATTGCACTCTGTTATATAAAAGCTATACATTTTACACTTATACTTGTAAATTTGCAAGAAGATATAACATACTGCATAGTTTGACAGGTTGAAGAGTTCGGGAAGGATAAGAGAGGGGTAGAAGAGAATACGAAGAGGGAGGGAAGATAGAAAGGTAGAGAAAAGGATTACGGAGTAGGGGAGTAGAGAGAGGTAGAGAGAGGGGGAAGGGAGAAAACAAATTGAAATCATGAGATCAGTATTCACAGATACAGATGAAATCAGAAAATCATGTAAGAAGACGAGTAAAATAAGCAAAACTGGAGCAGTGTGTAACATGCAATATTCACATTTAAAAAAAGGGGAAAACGATTGAAAATAACTATAGTTTAATACAGGTTGCTGAATTGCACAAAATACATGTTATAAACGTACAATAGAAATCATGATAATATACATAGATCAGAAGATGATAATGAATGTATTGAGAAAGGGGAAAGGTGACAAAGAGAAATAGATTATCATACATGTAAGAAGAGAACACAAAGCTCTAAATGATAGACAGGTATATACTGAAAGGGTAAAAAGGGAACGGGGAGAACGATAGAGAGATGGAAAGACAAGGAAAATGAAGACATGAAGGATAAGAGAGGGGTTACGTAGAAGATGAAACGAAGAGGGAGGAAAGATAGAAAGGTAGAGAAAAGGATTACGGAGTAGGGGGGGTAGAGAGAGAGAGAGAGAGAGGGGGGGGAGAGATAAAACAATTGAAATCATGAGAGCAGTATTCACAGCTACTACGTGCATGTTCTGTAATATTATCATGACTTATTCACATAATTGCGACTTAATCAATATTTTCCTATTGACATTACTGTTTACTAGGTTAATGATATATGTTTATTTTGCAAATGAGTATTATTTGTTAAAAGTGTTTTGTATAATTAACGTTATAAACGATGGAAATGTGTTCATGTTCATTCAGGGCCCCATGGAAGACCACTACTTGTTGGTGAATGGGCTACCCTGTCAAAAGATTAGAAATAAATAAATAAATAAAAATAAAAGACAGAGTGGGCTGATAACACAGAAAGAGAGTGAGAGAAGGAAAAATAAAATGCATACACAATATTACAATGACACCAAGAATGAGGACTATATTGTACAAATTCTATCAAGAGATATGAGCTTAGAGTAAGTAAATGGTCACATTCTTTGGCTTGTATTCAAATACCTATAGGAGAGGGAGCGGTCACTTCAATATTAATTTTCCAGGTTTTTATTTAGATTAGATTTTTACGAACAAATTTCATTCGTTCCTGGATGAAAACTTCAAGTTGGCCACTAGTCTAGTTGCTGCAGAGAGAGTTACGTGAGTATATATACGTCATCATTAAATGTACTATTAAAGGTACCTTAACGGTTAAATTCCAACGGCATTTGAAAAATAATACTAGTTTAGAACTTCCTTTAAAAAAAAAAAGGGGGGGGGGTCTTGAACATGTCTTTAAGTGGAAAAATAACGACTATTGTCAAATCGACTTAAGAGCTCTAGAGCCAGTAAGTAATAGTCTAATTTTGAGACCATTGTACCGAATGGTCGTACGTTTTATGCTGCGCAAAGATTCAATCAGTTTTATTTTGGTCATTACAAGAAGTTGGTTATTGATGTAGACAAATGCTCATGTACGATTCACAGCTCATTTTATGTATGTTATTACCAAAGAAGAAAAAAAGCTAGTCATTCACTCGATAGTGTCTGACAGTGAAGTCTAGCAAGTAAACGGGTTTCCTTGCATAATTTGAATATTAGGACACTGCTAAAGTTTAAATTTCACAGATAGGACATACTTGACATATTTATAATTCCTGCAAAGTTCTATAGAATTAGTATCTCTTTAAAAAATAAAAAACAATCAGATATACTCTGAAACTGTATTTATTTCAGTATTTTTTAAAGATCCTACATTTAAAGTGTGTACGGATATTTAAACATAAATACGATATTCACGTCAAATCAGCCACATTTGCCACGCAAGAGTACTCAATGAAATACGTTTCAATTGTATTGGTATTGAGACGCTACCCACCACAGCTTGGAGATTTTGTAAAAGCGGACAATTGGACATTCGACCACTTTCCTGAAATATCTCAATGTGTCATTGAAAACGCGGATTGTACCTTAATAATTAGGTAACTTGATAGGCTTATATCCCAACTTATTCAACAACCCACTAGGGTAACAGTAGTACAGGAGTACGCTCATTGACTTAGTCTTTGTGTCAAAGTCAATTGGAGAGCTTCAAACTGGGGTACAATCAATATGATTAAGTGACCACTCCCTGGTTTATTTCGTTACTAAGTCCTAAGATAAGTCCATGGGAAAGGGTTTTGGGATAGATCGTGTTTTAATAAAAGAAAACTCAAAATTTCAATTCTGTATAATAAAATGTTGAAATATATGAAACTCATTTTTGCTTCATAAATTCCTCTTTTTTTAAAAACTATTCAGTCTTTTTCGGAAAAAGTATTGTTTTGTTCTAGTTTTGGGGTTGAAATAACTGTGTAGTGCGGTAATATCTTTCTATTATGTGACTGTGATATATTTTTGTCCTATACATTGTGAAATAATGATCAAGGAATTGTGTTTATTTTTGTTTAGTAAATGATAAAAAAGTTTTGTTATAATTACGTTGCAGTTTTGTATACACTTTTATTTATGTACAAAAAAGAATTGGAGTTTTAAGGCATAAAATCAATGAATACAAAAGATGTCTTCCTTTAATTTTGCGATAACACTTGAGTACCGTATCGTAAGCACGAGCAGAGGTCTTGTTATGTTGTTTTTCTCTCCAGCGAGGCTGTCCGAAATCGATTTGAAAAATTAACAAATTATGTGACATTAATTGTTGACTCACGCTAGGTAGAAACATTTAATTCAAGGATAAGAGACTCCGTTTGAGGCTGTGCGTTGACTGGTTGGTTATTGTATTATTTGCTGTATTTTCTGATGTGCATTTTCCTGCGACAAGAACGGACCGTTACTTATCAACAGTCCATTGATGTGAGGTTGGATTCAGGTTGCATGCTAACTGCACATTGAAAGGTAAATATACATACCAAGGAACTGTATTTGTACTTACACATAATTAAGAGTATATTACGTACGTTTTTGCGATATTAAATGCAGTGTAGAGTACACTTAAGATTTCACTCTTAAGCGGAGCAGTCACTCTACCAGGTATTATGATATCATGATATCGATAATAGAAATCAATAAGAAAAAATGTAGGCCTCAGTTGCAGTTAACGGCTTCTTGAAGCAGTTTGGCATGATGGCGTTCATTATAATATGAATTAAAAAGGTACACGGACGTAGAGTATAATTCATTGTATCCGTGATTCTCTCACGTCTCCAGTTTTAGTTGGATTTTAGAGTCCACACAGGGGCAGCGATTTCTTTTCATGACCGGGAGGGGGGGGGCGACAGTGGCGGATCCAGCCGACGGGAAGAGGGGGGCCCAATCCGTGAGAAGAAATTAGTTGCGACGGTGAATAAGCGGGGGGGGGGGGGGGGGTAGGAGGCACTTTTTTTGGTCCAATTTTTCAGGAAATATTTGCGCCAACTCAGCCGGTGAATAAGCGAGGGGGGGCGCTTTGGTTTTTTGTTTTATAAAGGTTAACTTTATGTTATTATCCTATTTTTTTTTATCGTTTTCGTTAGATTAAAAAAAAAATAATTAGTTGTTGTTGTTGACCCGTCAGCCCCCCCCCCCCGTGGATCCACGCCTGCAGAGGATCCAGCCGGCGTCAAGGGGGGGGGGGGTAGCCAAATCTTAATACAAAATTTAGTGCCGTCTCAGCCGTCCGGCGAATAAGCGGGGGGGGGGCGCTTTG